AAAGGTGCGTTAAATGCGGTTATTAAAATAATAACTAATAGCATCTAAATAATATTAAACAATATAAATAAAAGTAATTTATTTTGATTTAGAGAGTTAAGTTCTAAGGTTAATAAACCACCCCAATAACAATGTTCTAATGCACAGATGCACTGCTTGCTGTCGATAACAATGTGCCTCAGTAGTTCGCTCAGAACTAGTGCCATGTTGGACCTACCCGAGTCACTGGACGAGGTGGCCGAGTGGTTAAGGCGTTGGACTGCTAATCCAATGTGCTCTGCACGCGTGGGTTCGAATCCCATCCTCGTCGACAAAACTTTTTGTTTTTTTTATAGGTGTTTTTATGTTTCCTAAAGTTTTAATAAAATATTAATTTGTATTTGTATTCTTCCTAAATAACTCTATGAATACAATAGTTAGTTCTGCTTATGATTGGCTGCTAGTAAAAAGAAAAACCTTGTTAATTTATTAGAAAATAAATATAAATTTAAAACATAAATATATATAGTTCTAAAGCACATATATATTATGTTATTATTCTGGCACTTAACGCTTAATTATAAAAAGAAAAAAAACTTCCAAAGATTGTCAGTAACATGTTGTGTTTGTAAATTAAATGTTAAATCTATTTAGATGAATTCTGACACATCTTAGAAAAACAATTGTAATTTAAGGACCTTTTTCGCATTGTGAATTTATTGAGGGAAATATTTGCATCCCTTATTTGAAAAAACGATCTAAAACGGCTATTTCTAAGTTGACGAGGTGGCCGAGAGGTTAAGGCGTTGGACTGCTAATCCAATGTGCTCTGCACGCGTGGGTTCGAATCCCATCCTCGTCGAGAAGTAATTTTTTTTTAAATGATGTCCTTTTTTTAAATACTCTAAAAAATAAGTGATTTGTTTAGTTTTAAAATGTTTTAAAGCTTAGAACTCAAACAAGTGAAACGTAATGTAATTACTTTTAATTGGATGGAAAGTAAAAACTAAAATTAAATTTAATAAAATAAATATATTTAATAAAAAGGATCTTTCGACGAGGATGGGATTCGAACCCACGCGTGCAGAGCACATTGGATTAGCAGTCCAACGCCTTAACCTCTCGGCCACCTCGTCTTCGGGCAAACATTCTGTGAAAACCTCTCTTTGTCGCAAAACAAAACCAAGTTCTTATCAAAGAACCCAACTACACTGGAACTAATTGAACCCTATCGAGAGAGATAACAATAAAATAAAACTGTTAAATCAGCATTCCAATCACAGCCACGTTTCCGGAAATGTTTGTTCAATTTCTTTACCAATTGTTTGTTTAAAAATTGTGTCAATGACATTGGCAAAAATAATTGCAAGCACCACAATTAAGCTTTTTACGATTTGTTTGCCTGGGTCGTTCATTTGTTTGCAGTTCAAGAAAGTAGCTGAGTGTGGCTCGTGTGGGGGCGATGTCTTAAGTGCAGCTTAGGGTTTTGAAAGGGGTATTTAAGACTTCGAGATCCTGTCAGACTTTGAGTTAACATAATTATAATTAAAGATTTTGCACTATGGAAAGTTTCTGTTTGCACATTATAGGTTATATTTTGCTTTTAAGTCTACTGAATATTAATACCCACCGAGTAATTTGTTTACTCAGCCCATCTGGAGGGCGACTTCCTGAGGGGTTTTCAATAATTCAGATTCTCGGCCGGCGGTCGTGCCGCTTCTGACCCAGTTCTCTGCCGATCTTCTGTCTTGGCTTCGATTTCTTTTTATATCTCTCTCTTTTGGTGTAAAAAACAAAAGTGGTTTACTTTAGATGGGCCATGCTCAAGCGAGTGTGTCGGTAGCGAAGCGATGATGGGGCTGATGATTTAATACGAGAGCTTCTGCCTTTTAAATGGCAATAGCCATCAGCAGTGGTCCCAACAACTGCGGCGTTTTGTTTGGGCCATGTTTGTGTCCAGGCTGTCAGTTGGTGTTAATGAACCCTTGTAGCCTGATAGCTGTTAGTTGTTTACGTTCCGAATGCCGATACCGCGATAGCACCGACGATCCTACACTGAAGAAGGAGATTAATTGAAGAAGAATAATATGAATAAATTTATAATATGTAGGTAGTTGCTAAGCATGGTTCCCATAACTCTAAACTAGGTCAAGAATATTCTAATAAATTAACTAAACTTATCTTAGAGGATAAATTCCATAAGCTAATATTTTAATCGGCAGGAGTCTGACTTTTAGATATCATTATTCAAACGTAGTAAAACATAGTAAACCAAAGTAAGCCATAGTAAGCCAAAGTAAGCCAAAGTAAGTAGTAAAACAATAGTAAAACATAGTGAGCCATAGTAAAGCCAAAGTGAGCCAAAGTGAGCCAAAGTAAGCCATATTAAACCATAGTAAAACATAGTAAACCATAGTAAAACATAGTAAAACATTGCATATTATATAAAGTAATATATTTTGTTTCATATTTCAATTAATATTAAAATAGTCCGAATTTTTTGCCAGTGCCGCAACGACATTGTCACCTAACGTGGCTTCGTTAGGAAAGTGGCCAAGTTTGATGATCCGCAGGCACGCGCGTTTTATATTTAGCCCCACACCAGGGCGACTGGGATCCTCGGGCCCGAAGAACTGGGGAGCGGGGCTAGTCACGTGCACAAGGACATTCCAAGGCTAATTACGTGTGGCATGGGGCTTGGCCAAGTTGGGCTTGGTTTTGGTTGGGTTTGGGCTTTGGTTTTGGCTCGAGTACTGGCTACTGGGCTCTGGGTACTCTAAGATAGTGCCTTTCGGTGGGTAATAGTAATAGTAATAGTAATACACACATAGAACACGAACCGTTCATTATTGTCGTCGCTTGTTGTGGCAGCCGCCGCAATCTGCGGCATGTATCTGTATCTTTTGCATCTGCGTGGATGTGGATGTTGCAGCAGTATGCTGCTGCTGATGCAACTGCCGCTTAATTAGCTGCGTAATTTATTATTGCTCTAATCTCAACGCCGGCGCCACTGCCGCTGGCTTTGACAAATAAACAAATTATTCATATTAGAATATTAATAGTGCCCGTAGGGTTTATCTGCTCTGGAGTATCTGCGGTATCTGGCATAATTATGACCTGTTTGACAGACGCTTTCCATATTCTTTTAGCCTGGGAGACTTTGACTGGCATTACTGGCTCTTGCTTGGTAATCGTTAGGCGGACAATAAAGATGCACACTAACTAAATATGTAGGCACGCCGATGCAATCGCACAATTATGCCCAATTATGCAACTGGGAAGAGATCTTTAGATCAGCAGGAGCAGGTGCTTTAGCTGCAAGGTGATAGGCTAGCTGGTAGGTGCTAGGTGCCATGTGGAATGCCAGGCGGATATCATTGACTAATGAGCCCATCTCCGACTCAAACTCGACGTCTTCTTTTGCCCTGTCATAAAAATTAAAATGCATAATCGCGGGCGTTGCTCGCAGGGCTCTGGGTCTTGTTACCCCAGTAGTTGGGGGACCTTTTTGCCGGGGTAATTAACATTGCTCGCGATTCCTCCTCGCCCTAGCAAAATGCAGCAATTGCATGTGGATATGCTCGCTTATTTGCAGCTGGCAGGGTTATTCACAGTCGGGGCTAATTAAGCCGGCGTTTAAGCCGCTGGCAATTAGCCGATTTATCACTTGCCACAGAACCTCAAAATCATGGCCCGAGATCGCTGAGAAAAGCTTGGGCAAATGCAAACAAACTTATGGCCCAAACACTCGGCGCACTTAACTTCTTCACTTCACTCTGCTCCATCTTGAGTTCTGCGCATGCGCAGCGACGTCGACGCCGACGTCTGAGCAGCTTTAGCCACTGGGAATGCGGGGATTCTGGCCACTCGGGCCAGGCCCCCTTATATAAAGCGCCGATTCTGGCCGCGATCACACTCATTTCCAGTCGAACGCGCCTGCCGACCAGTGGGCCATCTGAATCGTTGGCATCCCGATCAGGACTCTCCGATCCCGTTGAGCATTCATTGATCTCCGATTAATCAACCAGGTGAGTTTGCACAAAGTGTTTTGCTGATCAGATCCTTGCGGGAAAAGTGTTAATAAAAAGTGAATTAAATGTAATGCTCATTGTTTGTGCAACTGGCGGAATTTTAAAAATAGGAAAAAAAGAATTTCTTTAACTTAAATTAGATCAGATGAAAATGTTAAATGTTTTCTGGACTTCACTTTCAAGTCTTTTACTTCAGTTTCATTTGGTAAAGTGTTAGTATTGAGTAAATTTAAAAGTTCTTTTAGAAGTGAACATTACACAGAGTAAAATTATAAAAAGTTTTAGGTGCAAAACAAGGGGTGAAACATTTTAAAAAGTAAAACGCTTCATACAAATTTTATTTTACTTTGCATTTTTAAATCATTTTTCATTTTTATTTTTAACTACGTTTTTATATGAAAGCGGCATCCAAAAAGTTGTATAATTTTCTCTGTGTAATAAATGAATTATCTTATTTCACTAAGATCTCAGATGTAATAACATTGTAAACAAAAGTTTTCTATGTCTGTTCTATCTATCTATATATCTATCTATCTATCTATCTATCCATCTATCTAAGAGAGCTATCAACCAGGTATAGGATCACAATTTTTTCCCGAATAAAGCGATTAGAGAACAACATACAATTTATCAAATCCATCGCCTGAACTTCAAAGTGAAATCAATTTTAATAGCCACATATTACTTAACGTAAGGTACTTTAGGTAATATGGAATTATTATAGGCCTCGGGATTCTCCCCACTTTGTTGGCCTATACTTCGCACCGATCTTAACCAGCCGTGGTGATCCCAAGTGCTGGCCATTTTTATTCCGTTGTTTACTTGCTGCCGGTAGATGGTGGGGGAAAATCCGCTGGTTGCGCAATTGGAGTGTGAGAAACTAGCTGGAGGCATGCAAATCAGCTCGAATGGTTTGGGGTCAGTTGGAGATCAGCAGAGGAGTTTTACTCACCGGCAATGCCATGATCCAATTACAGAGCTACCGCCAGAATGGGCAACCGTATGTGGAGCATCATCGTGATGGTGCTGCTGGTGCTGCAGCACCTGGTGGCCTCATCCGAGGCGGCTAATCTCGGCCAGCTGGTGAAGAAGCAGAGTCAGCCGAAGCAGGTGCAATCCTCGCATCAGGGACAGCAGACGGGGCAGCAACACCAACTGCCGCAGGGACAGCAGATCCATGCCCAGCAGTATGTGCAGGACAACCTGGCCGAGCAGCAGGATCTGAAGTCTGAGGAGGAGGAGGACCATGATCCCTACCAACTACTGCAGGAGTCCAAGCAGGAGTCGCGTTTGCCGAACTCGGCCAACTATCCCTGGAGTCCTTATGCCGCCCCCGTTCCGCAGGCGAATCCCTACGAGGCCATGCCCAAGATGCTACCCTTCATAGGCTACGCCCAACCAGTGCTCATCCCCTTTCCGCTCTACCTGGCACCGGATATGTTCTATCCCGCCTTCTCCGCCGGCTCCCCCGGTGGCAATGACCTCGAGGATGTGGTGATGTCCAGAGCCGCCGGCGGACGACGTCCTGCCGCCAATCACCCCCAAGCTGCCCGCAATTCACCCATCTACTATGTGAGACTGCCACCCACACCCTATATGTTCTTGCCCAATATGCCGACGTCTCCATTTGGTGGAGGCTTCTCCCCTCTGCTCACCTACCAGCCGATGCCCTCCTTCTCCGCCTACGGATCCGTGTTCAATCTGCCCGTGAACTTCTTGGCCAACGGGAAGCCCTCGGGAGTCTATCAGGTTAATGGATCACCGGGAGAGGGAATGCCTGGCTTGGGAGGAGGAGGAGGAGGATTTGGCATGCGGCCACCTACCCCAAGTAATCCCTACAGACCCATGTCCCCTCCGCCTTCGATGGGCGGTTACGGGGGCTCCCAGCAGAGCTTCGGCCTGGCCTCCATACCAGTTCCTCAGCAGGACTCCAAGTTGACTTCCCTGAAGCGCCCCTTCGTCTTTAATGGTCGTCCCGAGGACATCTACATCCTGCCCAACAACCTCAGTCCGCTCTACAACGAACAGAGCTATTACTAATCATAAATTCTGCCAATGGCTGTGGCACCAACTGAAAGTATTACATAATGCATTTATCAGATTAAAAAGTAACTTAATAAAATATATCGTCCGTAAACTAATAAGGTTTTTCATTGGGAATATCCATCATTATGTTTTGTATAAATAGTATATTTTTGGCCGAAAATATCAGACGGGGTAGACAAATAAATAAATGTTATAATATCCTAAACAGCCGACCTCCTTGGACCTCAAGAAGACGGCTCAGGAATGTAAATCCCACAAAAGTCGAGGGATCTTCCTCAATCAGTCACCAATGGCAGCCACCTGGGCTGTTTTCCGCCTGATATACTCCTGATCTCCCAGGTTAATGGCGCCGCCCACCAAGCCTCCCGAATTTAAGTCGAACTCGTAGACGCGTGGCACGCAGTTCGGAATGTTGACCTTTTCGATGGCCTCGTTGGAGATTCCTGGGGAAATAAAGATCATGGAAGATGATGAAATATATATTTCAACATTATAAAAATGAAGAAAGAATGATGGAAAGGTTAAGCTATGGGACATTTTAAAACCAGACCGAATTCGAATTGTGAAAAAATGGTTTGAGGTATAATGAATTTAAAAGCAATAGTTTTGACTCACCCTCGATATGCTGAACGAGGGCACGTGCCACAGTGCCGTGGACGCACATCAGGACCCGGGAGCCCTTGAGCACCTCCCGTTTGACCTCCTTCCAGACGGGTTTCACCCGGTCGACGCACATGTGCAGGGATTCAGACAGAGGGAACTCGCCGGGGGGAACATCATCGAAAATGGGATTGCTGCAGATGGTGTAGTAGTACCGATTGCTCTCCTCGATGGGCGGGGGAACACAGTCGTATCCTCGTCGCCAGGCCTGAACCTGCTCCTCCCCGAAGCGATCGGCCACCTTCCGTTTCCGGTAGCCCGTCAGATCCCCGTAATGCCGTTCGCATAGCCGCCAATCCTTCTTGATGGGCACATAGGCACAGTTCAACTTGCAGAGGATCAATTCGGCCGTTTGCCGGGATCTGCTTAATACGGACGAATAGACCACGTCGAATTCCAGCTGAGACTGGGCCAGAGCAGGAATCGCCACCGTTAGAGCCTCCTGGATGCCTAATTGATTAGTAATTAATGGGATTACGTGAACTGGGTATTTATAGTCAATTTCCAACTCACCAAATTCGCTTAAGGGCGCATCATGCCACCCGCAGAACTTATTCTCTATGTTGAAATCGCTCTCGCCATGCCGCAAAACCACCAAGCGATTTGTCTTCGTCATAAATTGGGAGCTGCAAGGGAGGAACTTGTATTAAGGCTATTATGTATGAGAAGGTTTTTGAGCTATCCAATTATTATTGCAGTCTAATTCTTGTAACTGTGTTTTAGATTGTAACTTTAATATATTTTTATATGATTGTTTCTATAACACATATATCCAACAAAACAATCTTGACAAATGAAGACATACGATCTATTGTTAATTGCGACGGATGTTTAAGAGGAAGCGATAGATCTAAGTCTTCAAAGTTTCTTTTGAAAAGGGTATCATTTTTGCCGAGTTGCAGTACACGTTTTTGGGGAATCACATTTGTTGATATTAGGTGGGTCACAAGTTTTCCGCGTATTCCAATGCAGTGACATCTCTGACTTTATCTGGCCTCGCTTGCTTGGCCTTTTTGGTTTATCCACTATAAAGTTTAGTGTGGGGCTTAGCTGCCCGATTAGCTGGGGGTAAATTGCAATCTTTACAGGAACATATACCTCATGACTGTCGGCGGATGTCGTATTGTTTCGTTTCGTTTCGCGGATGATAAGGGTGAAGGTATAGATATATGTTTGTGCTTATAAAAACTGCCGAGCGCCGGAGACTCGAGAATTCGAACGTGTGCTCACCTCGACACCGTCCGGATGCGATTGAAGCGCGGTCCAGCAGCGGACTCCACGCGAAGCCCCGACAAAAATCCAAAATAAAAAAAAAAATATAAAACAAAAATAAAGAAGAGATCCGACATCCGACGAAAGCACCGCGCATTCCGCACATACTTTTCGGCTAGTGTATCTGATAGATACAAAGCGCGGCAAAAACGCGCGCGGCTCGTCCAACATGACGGGACAAAAACAAAATATAATTCGCATTATCTGATGTCCAGACGGCAGCATAATCACACGAACATGAACACGAACACACCCCCACCAAACAGGCCCATTCATTCACACAGATACTATTTGCTGGCTTGGCGTCGTTTTGGATTTTCGTGTTTTGCTCGCCTCATTCTCAATCTCATTCTCATTCTCATTCTCGGGGTTCGAATCTCAATCGCTGCTCTATCTATCTGGCTGTGGTTCTCCGATTCTCCCCCAGATTCCATACTCCCCATTCCCCAGGCCAGGTACCTCTGGGATACGGTACCCATACTTTAAAGATAGAGATACCAGATACCAGATACTTCCTAGACGTAAACAACGCCCCCACACCTTCGCATACTTACGCCTGAATTTCGCGCATTGTTATTCCCTTCGGCTGTATCTTTTTTTGTATCTTTTTCGTAACTTTTTTGTATGTTTTGTTTTGTTTTGGATACTCGCGTATGTTTACGTTGATATGCTGTTCCTTTTTATATACGTTACAGTTTGCTCTTCAAGAACTTGAAGAAAACCATCGTCTTCCTGGTGCAGCTGCAGCCACCACACGTTCCTGTATCTTTCGGATGCCAATTCGCACTAAGCCCGATTCTTATTGGCAAACAATTTTATCGCGGCGCAGTTGTTTTTCTTTTCTTTTCTTTTTTTTTGATTTTTCTGTTGTTTTTGCGGCTGCAGCGGATATATAATTGTTTTGTTTTGCTCGCGTTGCCGCCAAACAGCTGATTCGCTGGGTTTTACGCTCAATTTCGGATCGACTGGGGAAAATCAATAATAATAATAACAACATTAACTGAAATTTTTGTACTTGTTTTTGTTGGGCCATTAAACTGAGTTAAAACGAACTGTTTACATTCCGGTCAACTGGGCTGCTAAATAGCAAACGTATGCACATTAAACGTTTTTTTTAGTTTTTTGGACTTGTCTACGAATTGCGTCCTCGAGCTTCCAATAATTACTTGTTGCTTCTTTTGGAAAAACCATGGTAGATCTGGGACATCGAAAAAACATTTTGGTCAGCAATGACATTTTATCTGTAGCATCTTCAATATTTGGATCTATTAGATAAAAATACAAATCATTTCATTCACATTTAAATTTAACTCGGATATATTTATGAATATACAATATAATTATACTTTAGGCTGTTGCTTGTTAAATTAAATAGATGTTAAACCTAGAAATTGAATGATTATAAATATTTTACATTTTACTGAAATTGACTTAAAAAAGAGTTTTAAATATTTGATATTTATACCAAAAAAACTACCTAAGTAAATTTTAAACATATAGTTTTATAACAATTTTTGTCTGCACAAAACTCAAAATATCTGCCACGCGCGATACGCAACTCTGTATTTATATTTAGCTGATTTGTTAAATCAACTCACCTGAAAGCTGTTTAAAGTTCGTTTTGTAAAAATAAAAAATATAAAAGCCTGTTCTATATTTTGATTGTCTGATAAATCTGGGGAATAATAAAAACTCTTTGCATTCTGCAGCTGCAACTGACACACAACCGAAAACTGGATCTCAAGAGTCTACAGTCTACTTGCCTTTCTAAGCTAAGCTCAAAAAATTAACATGTAATTCAAGGACCAACCAAAAAACTCAAAAATGAGGCTTAGGTACAAGGGGATGTCATGAGCAAAGATCAAAATTAACACGATTTATGATCTCAAGGAATCGAGTGAAATACCAATGTTACAATATAATTAGGTAACCAAACAAATTTAAAATAAATATTCAATATAAAAATAAGTAATACTTCTCATTTATAATTTTAGTTCCTCATTGCATTTAGAACAAAAATCTAAGAGGTACGACTTCCAATAGGAATGCATGCCTAGACATACTTTTTATAAACGTCATGATATATAGGTTAAGGGATTAGCAAAACCCAGATAATATACGACCGACGACTTATGTCAAAGAATTTCAATTTGTGTAATCTTTTTTTGTCCCTATCGAACCGAGCTTTTCAATTATAACTTGCAATCTTGGGGTAACGGTGCTCGAACTCCAGTACCGGGTACGACAACTTCGAGTCGAGATTACCATCTATTGCTGCTCCGTCGAGCGTTTGACATTGCTGCTCTCCCAGTGACGGAAGCTTAGGCCCAGACTTGGGCCCTTTGGTCTTTCATATAAAGGTTTTGGCCTAAGCCGAACGTGGCTCAGTCTGCAGAGAAACGTGCGTGGATATCTTTGGTCTTCGGTCAGGGGTTATTGTGTGGCTCGAGTTTGGACTAGATTGGCGAAGACGACGTCTGCATAGCGGGTGATCAGGTGGAAAATGCATTTTCCGGCTTTTGACGACTTCTATCAGCGAATTCTGTTTCTGCTGCCGTTCGCCGCAAGTGAGTTCCCAAATGCAAACCAGTGAGGTGTGTCGCGTCCAAAGAATACAATACGGTGGTGGATCTCCTTGATATTGAGACGCCAGACATCGATAAGGCCCAGTTTCCAGACCCCGTAGCCCAGATTTTGAGACACTGCGGCAGACTGAAACGGAACATGACCACCGCCTGGCCTGTTACGTAGCTTCTTCGCATAGATCGGGGAATTTATGAGCCATCTCCTCCAACCGAACCCTCGTATGTCACACTCGACGCGCATAAAACTGTCTCATCGCGGTTCATCTAATGGATAGCAAACAACCCGGTGGCTTGTAAATAATAACAATAATTAAATTTGCATCCACAAATGCCCCATGAAAGCCAATGAGCGCGTCAATTTCGGGGGCGGAGTAGATGTCGAAGTACCATCTACCATCTACCATCATCCATTGTTATAAGACCGGCGTGTGCGATCCATCGTTTGGAACAATGTAAACAAAAGGAGGTTTCCATGGTCCGGACCCGAAATCAAGCAATTATGCTACGCTTTAGACATAACCGTAGGCTCTGCGAAATTGCTGAAATTGCGGAGACGTTTTTTGGAAATTGGCAAGTGCAGAAATTGCTTCAACGGCCTTCCTAATGGTTTGCAAAGTGACCACGCCTTTGCCTGGTGGAAACTGAAGATTACACAAGAAATGGATTAAGTTAAACGTACTTCTTTTCAAAAAGTATAAAGTTTAAAGTTATAGTTTTGTTTTCTCAAATTTATAGTAGTTTTCGACATATTACCAAGTACAGGATCGATAAAGATATATTGAATGTTAGGGAAAGGACCCCTTTTAATTTACTACATAAAGTCTAATATTTCTTTTGTATTTATTTAAGATTTCAGGTCTACTGATTTCGACTACCAGGCGCCGGTGAGGTGGCAGAATACCTACCCTGCTTGTGGAGGTTCAGATCAATCGCCTATTGCGATTAGCGCACGCAAAGTAATACCCCTCAGCTTGCCTCCTCTCGTATTTGGGGTATACGATGAGTTTTTTGATGAGCTAGTAACCGTGTCAAACAATGGGCACACAGGTATTTATAAGAAGGACTTCTCCATAAATTTTGCAAATTAATCCATTCTGTTTATAGTGGAATTTAAGGTACCCACAACGATCTATGGCGTGAGACCCTATGTTACAGGGGGTCTGTTGCAAGACTGCTACGAAGCCGAAGGTGTGCACTTCCATTGGGGATCCCCGGTGAGCAAGGGATCCGAACATGTCCTAAATGGACGTCGATTTGATCTGGAAATGCATATAGTACATAGGAATACTAAATATCTGACCTTTGAGGAAGCACAAGAGAATAGCGATGGAGTTACTGTACTGGCGGTGCTCTTTAAGGTTGTGCGGGTAAGTGGAGATCAAAAATCTTTGTTATTTTAGGTTTATGGCTTTAAACAAAATATTAGAATTTACTTTAAAATAGATCATTATTAATTTATCAAGATTCAAAGAACAAGTCTAATTCCTTAATAAAATATCTATAGATATTCCGTTAATATTTAAGCCTAAAAATATACTTATTCTGATCGATTGATTTTCAGGCGGATCCAACGTTCTATCAGCCCGGACTTAACGAGGTCTTTAGTTCTCTACTCCATTTGGGAAACTTTAATAGCAGCTACACGGTGCAGGAACGGATAACCCTTGGATCACTGCTGGGAAACCTGGACAGGGGTAATTTCTACACGTACAAGGGTTCCCTGACCACGCCACCATGCTCACCTGTGGTTCAGTGGCATGTATTTGGCCAAGTGCTGCCCATTTCGCACCTGGAACTGCCCAAGTTTTGGCAACTCCGCGATAGGCTGAATCGTCCGCTCCAAAAGAACTTTCGGCCACTGCAGTCGCAGGAAAACCGACAAATCTTCCACCGGCAACCTTTCGTGCCGCTGCAGCAGGAGCAGCTACAAGAACTGATATGGTTATAGCCATAAGATTTAACGTAACACCCTTTATTTTAATAAAAATTAAAGTATTCTATATTCATTCGAGCTGGTAGTGCTTACATCAGGGGAGTCGAAACTACATCATCGCTAGTCCTTCTTGCAGCGAGCCAGATAGGAGGCCAGCAATCCCAACTGAAGGGCGCAGAGAATCTTTGAAAACGTAGGCGTACGTGGCACTCCCGAGGGCATTTTTAGCAAGGGTTGCGGGATGGACTGCACCTGACTCGGCAGAGCGCGAAACTGTTTCACCTGGATGGTAGCCACCAAGGAGGTGCGATTCTGTCTCAGATTCGTGGGCATGGGAGGCCATTTCGGGGTCATTGTATGAAACTCATGATCCCGTCCATCAAAAGGTGGCCTTGGCACGCGCACTCTAGGATTTATGGGGGGATGGAAGGGCGGCGACACCACCACCTTGCGACGCTGATGGCCCAGACCCTGGGACTCCCCCACCTTGTCCTTTTCGAGGCTGGTGTCCATCGGCGGCCGAGACTCCAGATCCGGTTCTTCCCTGAAGGGGTTTTGGCCCCTGTAACTGACTCGACGATCCTGACCCTTGCGCATAACGCTGATCTTTTTGCCCATTCTTTCTAGCTGCGCCTTCTGGTTTTCTATATACTGCCGACGCTTTTCTGTCATTGGCGTGGTTTGACGTTCCTCTGCAGGAGTGGCAACTTCTGGTGGTTTACTGGAGTCAACTTGCTGTGTTCTTTTGCTTTCCGCCGTGGAGACTTCTTTAGCCACCGGAATCTCTTGCTCTCCAACTGACATCTCCGGTTGAACGACATCATCCATGTGGCCGAATTCGACGGGAGGATTTGTGCGATGGGGCTGCTTTTGTCTAGGCGAGGGTGGCTTCGTTTGAGGCGAAGGTGGAGGAACAGATCGGGGCGGATTCTGGAACTGGGGACTGCCCTCGCGAATGTGGGACTGCTTATTGGGCACGGGCTCTGGCACGGGCACAGCGGGAATTTGATAGGGAGTGGGGTTCCTTGGTTGCTCCGGAATTTCCTTTGCATTTTCGGTATTCATTTCCGTCTCGGGCAGGCCTTCGTTGGCTACATCCCCTCGGCTAGCCGACATCACCTCCAAATCATGCTGCAAAGCTTCATTAAGTTGATGATTGAGATTATCCAGTTTATCCTGGTCAGATTGGCTGAGCATTTCGACCCTTTTGTTGGTGGATAATTCGGTGATGCTTTCGTCGGCATCCAACTTCTCGTTGTTCATTAGCCAATCCCACTCGTGGCGACCAGTCTCGTCCAGATTTTCATACGGCTTCCGTTCACCGACGTTGCTCAGCAGCTCCTGCGTTTTCTCAGCCCGCACTTGAATGGGTTCGGCGTCTTGATGGCTATTGACATCCTGCAATCTATCTTCATGCTCGATTGGGAGCCTCGAATTGTCTTCCCAGGCGGTGGCATCTTCCAGTTCTGCTGAAGAGTAAGTATGATCTTTCTCCCGCCGCATTAGTTTCTGCCACTCGAGCAGCTCCTCGAGCTCTATGTTTTCTTTGGTGTAAGTGCGATTCTTCTTTGCTATGGCTGGCTCCTCGTCCAAATCGAAATCGTTTTCGTGTTGAAGTTTCATTTCAACCAGCTTCTCGGACTCCAAAGGCTCTTCTGTCTCGTTGAACATGAGCGCTTTAAGGCTAGCAGCATCGGATCCTATTTTGTACTGCTGTTTGTTTGTTGGTTCTTCTAGAGATTGCTCTTCTCCAGCGTTGTGTTCAACAAATTCCGATTCATTTGCTGCGCCTTTAAACTGAGAAGTTTCCTCTTCCATTTGGCTTCTAGATTCAATGGCTTCCTCTTCCAGTTGTGAAGACTCCTCCTCCATTTGGCTTTTAATGTGCGCAGTCTCCTCAACCATTTCGCTCTCCATCTCACCTTTTAGTTGGGAAGTTTCCTCGAGCATTTCGGTATATGCCTCAGAAGTTTCCTCTCCTATTTGACTTTTCAGTTGAAAAGAATCCTCCTCCATTTGGCTCTTAGTGTGGGCAGTTTCCTCCTCCATTTGATTTTGAGCGATTAGGTTTTCCATTTTTTCTTTATCACCGAGAGCTTGTATAGTTTGCCTAATTGATTTTATGAGATTTTCCTGAGCTTTAAAATTGGCCGCTTCTTGCTCGTCGATTTGCTTTTTTAAGTTAGCCATCTCTGGAAGCTTGGACTGATTTAGCTCCGCAGCTTCCATCAGCTTGCTATTTTGGTTTGATGACTGCAGTGGCTCAGATTCGCAGCTCAAGTCCAGGACATCAGAAGTTTTGTTCTTCATTTTGTCGGCGAAATTAGTAGATCCCTTGGAAGGGTTCTTGAAGTTTTGCTGACCCATACTGGTATCGTCACTTTCTTGGCCTGCAACCAATCTGGGCGATATTAGATACCCCGTGTTATTTCTAGACGTTTCTCTGTCCTCCTGCAGCAAGAGCCGCACATGCCGATCGCCTTCCTCAATGTCCATCTTGAAGGCCACCTGCACATTACCATCCCGGATGTCATTATGGAGTCGGGCGGCTTGTACACTCAGTTGATTGGGAATTTCTTCGGTCTCTAGGGACGTCCCTTCGACGTCGTAGTCGTTGACTTCCGTCCAGTCTTCCGTCACCTTCAGGTGCTTAAAACTCTCGTTTCCCGACTCGGCTAAAACCTTATCTAAAGCGGTCCTCAGTTTGGGCAAGGTGTCAGCCACTTGATCTAGCACTTGGTCCATTTTTGGCTCGCCCTTCTCTGACTCGTGGTTTAGTAAGTGCGAAATGGATGAATTGCTGTTTAAGAATTGAAAATGGGTAAGGGTTGTTTTAGAAAAGGCACTCTCGTTACCTTAAATCTGGGTGATTTCTTAGGGCTTCTAGCATAAGATCCGGCGGAGCTTCATTTTGGCATATCAGGTGGATGGCCGTGAAAAGCGGAAATCTGGATGATTCATTTAAGAATTAAATATTTGTGTTATAACTTCTCACTACCATTTTTGCTTACTCGTGCTGCATTAGCTCCTTTTCCAATAATGCATTCACATCACTGGCCACCATAGGACCCAACATCTTGCGGCCATTGTGGAGGTAAGCTTCTATTTCCTCAATCGTTTTGCCCGAGGTAATTAAACTCTTCGCGAAGGTTGCGTTTTTATCGACTGTAGGTGTAGGAATTTGTGATTTACAACGTATATATAGGAGTTCCTAGCCTAAAACGCACCATAACTAGAAGCCACAGAGTTCGCCACGCCGCAGCTCTCGTAGAATGTCGACATTTTTGCGGACGGGAAGAAGGTCTTGATAAACCGCATCATCTCCTTGATGCCCAGATGGATGGCGGTCACCCGAGCGTTCTCGCCCAGGCGCAATCCGTCCACAAAGCCCGCTCCCAGGGCCATGATGTCCGTGAGCGTTCCGCACAGCTCTACTCCATCGACGTCATCGACAGAGATAACTCGGCAGTTGTTGGTTTGCAGGGCGGCACTCATCAGCTTGGCATGAGCATCGTCACTGCAACCGATGGTAACCTCGCACAGCTTTCCCTGAGCCATTTCCATGGCACTCTGGGCGGACATCATCGAGTAGCACGGGATGCCCAGCCGCTCGCTGATGGTGTGCGACACGAGCCCAATCTCCTCGCCCTGCACGCGCATCAGACCTTTGGTCATGGACACGGCAAAGGCAGACTCCTTCATGTTTCCAGCCAGTATATTGCAGTAGGATTTGACGAACTCGTGGGGCGTGGAAAATATCAAGATATCTGCATTCTGGGCAGCTTCCAAGAGATCATTAACAGCGACCTGAAAAGGGAGTTACTCTTTAGTCGGTTTCAGGAACACAAGATGGTGTCTCACCAGGTTACAGGGCAGCTTGATCCCAGGCAGATACTTGACATTCTCGTGGCGATTGTTAATGACTTCCGAAAGGCTGCTGTTGCGAATCATCTCATCGTAGACATACATATGCACCCGGCTGTCGAAGTCTCCTCCCTTCAAGACATTCTTGCTCACGGCGGCCGCAATGGCCGAGCCCCTGGAAAATACAAACCCAGAGAAGTTAGGTGGATCTACAGCTTGACCATTAAAGATACCCACCAGCCCTCGGCGCCAATGATGCATACTTTCAGCTTTCCGTCCATCGATCCACCTTAAATCAACGTATTTAAATAATTTAGGGCCGAAACGCGACCAAATGACCGCCTGTGTGTTAACTAAATGTAGAACGCTTTAAATTTTATTATGAATTTTGATAGTCCAGAGTGAGGTGGCGTCCGAATGTAAAGTGAGTTGATGAGCTGGGGGGGCTTACAAAGGCAAACACCCAACCTACTTTACGAGCAGGGTCGGAATTCGTAGACTATCCCCGATGCATTGTCCATTCGGCGCTCCTGCTGGGCCTCCAATTCCGAGATGGCGCGGATCTCGAACTCAGTGATGATCTGGGAGATGCGGCTCTTGGCTTCGGCGGCCAATTTGGGTGGCAATCCTTTGACACTGATGCAGGCGCTCTCGAAGAACAGGTCGTAGCTGTTTCGCTGGGGAGCAGGAGGGTTAGGTGGTGCCACATCCGGCGACTTGGCATCCTCTCGCTGGGATGTTAATCTTTGGAAGTAGGCCCCCAGAACCTCGCGATCTCGCCCGATGCTCTGGAGGAGTTCCTCACGGTTCTGGGGAATGGGCCGCGAGTATGGCAGCTGACTTCTCTTTATTGACATATTGGTGTTATTCAGGCGCAGCGAACTTGATCTCTCGGGCTGCAAGTGCATAATTTGGCTGTAGTTCTGGTTAATTATTTGGATATCTTCTAATCTCACCTTTATATGATCTTCCTCCTTGACGTATGAAGCCTCCTCCTGATCGTTTTCCTCGTTTTTGGCGGTCCTATTCTCGTACACTTTCGGCCTGTTCCACATGCTTTTGTTTTAACTATTTGCACAGTCCTAAAACACTTTAAATCGCTTAAATTAATTAAATTTAATAAAATATTTGACCAAAAGAGGCCGCGCTTTAGAGATGGCAGCCGCTGATTTGCTTGTCTATCGAAGCCATCGATAACAATACAAGTGCGATTACTATTTTCTGGTTTGAAAAATATATTTAAATTTTAAAACATGGTTTTTAAAATTGAAAAACAAAGCATTTTTTCGTTAAACTCAATGTATATGTTAGTTTAATATAAATGCCTCTTTTAAAGTAGGTTTTCTCTTTTTCATAGAAAATACAGGCTTAATATATAAACATTTTATTTAAAAACTTAATAAATCATGCTTAAATACTACATCTAACCTTTGTCGCTCAACCTATCCTGCTAGAACCTGGCTGCTGGGCAACCGCTTGACCACCATGTCCTGACGGTCGAGGTAAATTCGCTAGAGGATGTGGATTCATCGCTTCCTGAGCATTGTTCTCCTTGAGGCCGCGCAACTCGAGTTCGCAGATCAGCTGAGACACCCGCATCTTGGCCTCCGCCACCAACTTTGGGGACAGAGCCTTTACGCTGGATCTGACGCTCTCGAAGAATAGGTCGACATGGTTCTTCTCCTTGGGCGGCGGTGTGTGATTTGGTGTCCTTTGGCTACCCATTAGCTCGCGAAAGGAGTCCATGAGCTCGTTCTTGTCCTGGTGGATTTGCAGTAGTAGCTTGAGGCCCTCCTGATTGGAGGAGTCGCTTCGTTTGGGCAGGCTATACGAGGATTCGGTCACCTTTGTGGCCGACTCTGTTTCACAAGGGTGCTCCTGCTTGGGCACAGTTACGTGCTCGATGGATGGGGCGGATGAGATTGGGTCTGCAATAGCCACCATGGGGAGAGGCTCTTCAAGTGTCTTCGTGGGGGGCACCGAATCCCGGTTCTCCAGCTGTATCTCCTTATCCACCTTGTCCTCTTGCTGCACCTCCAATTTCCTGCAATAGTACTTGCTGCGCTGCTTGCGAATTCGGAACTCCTGGAGCGCCGCACCCTCGCCATTGGTGAGCAGCGCCTCCAGGTTGCGTTTGTGCTTGGTGGTCCGCTCGTGGCGCACCAGGTGACACCGATTGCAGTCCATGGTGCTCTGGCAGGCGCGACAGAATGGCTTATTGGGATCCTCGGCCGCCCGGCGCAGCCACGGGTGAAAGATTTTTAGCCACTTCTCGCAGAACTTTTGGTTGTACTTGGGTTTCAGGCTCCTGGAAGTTGGCGACTTCTGCTCCTTAGGTTCTTTGTCGCTCTTTGAGGATTGCTTGATGGTCCGCTGCACTTTCATCCTAGCCGCTTTCCTAAAAACGAGGATTTTGTTAGAGTTTGAGTTTCTAAAGTTTTGGGGGCTTACCATTCTGAATCGGAGGTGTTTTCCGAGAAGCTCATGGCTGTTTTTTGAATTTTGTTTTAACTTGTTTATTTTTGGTTTTAGGTGTTTTTTTTTTAGACACAGATCAGCTGTTTAAACAAAATATCGACAACAAATTAAAGTCACTTGATATGTTTATCGATAACTAGCCGCTAGTTATCTAAAATTGAATATAATTGGAATTATAAAGAAAATTTCAGAATAGAAAAATAAAATTAGAATTTGTTTATATTTGAAGGTTCTTTTATTAAAATTTTTAAGACATTACGTATTTTATACTGTCTATACTGTCTATTTCTACAGTACTCATAAGGCATTTGTGAATTAAAATATAGGCGGCCCAAAAAAGGGTTTACTCCTTGGTCAAGTGCTGCCTGCAGTATTCCCAAATAAAAAGTGATCCAGTCACATGTACATTCAGGGAGCGCACCAATCCGAACTGGGGAATTTCTACAGCATAGTCCAAGAATCCAATGAGGTCCGCTGGTATTCCATGCTTTTCGTGCCTAAAAGATTGAATATTATCAATATCTAAATGGTAAACTTGGTGAATCAGTTACGCCTACCCCAACAATAGAATGCTCTTTTTGGGAAACTTGAAGTCGACAAAGTTTGTGCTGTGCGCTGTTTGCTCAGCCCCAACGATTTTGTATCCCTCCATTTGCTTTTCCAGCAAAAATTCAGCTAGAGTTTCCGGTTTCACTTCAAGTATGTTTAAAGTTTTCTCAGCAGTCATGCTAAAGGATTGATTTTAAATGTATTAGCATATATATTTCAATTGGCATTGCAGTGGACATACCTCAAGTTCGTAAAATCGCTTTTCTCCGCCTGTGATTTGAGACCCAAAATCAGGGTCTTGACGCCCAGCACCTCACAAGTGCGCGCCAATCCACCCAAATTAGGCAGTTTGTCTATAAGGGAAGCCACCACAATGAGCTCCTGGTTATCCGGAGCTTTGTTCGCATCGTCAAAGTCACTCTCCGGGTAAATATCACCAATGGGATTCATTTTTCTCTGGACATTTCCATTAGATGCCGAAGACGACGACAGCTCAGGCGCTAATCCTGCCCTTTTCGCTTTAAATGTCTCGCGAGCGCGCTCAAGTTTTACTCTAAATGCATATCGACAGGAAACGAAGCTAATGTTTTCATCAAAGGGTGCATTTGTCATCCAGAGAATCGCATCAGACTGGGATGTGGGACACTCTAGGTGTAATTCCGGTAACAAAAGTCGAGCTTCACTCTTAAACTCATTTAATTTGTCACCCAAAGTAGCCTCAATTGACTTTTTCAATGCACCAGCTAGTGGCATTTCAATGCTGAAAATATATTGGTATTAATACTGTTCAAGTTAGAGCATATAAACATGACATTACCTGCTTAATTCGCACTCAGTACAAATACGATGCAGAACCAACTGGGCCAGCAGGCGAGTCTGAAAATTGGCTCCCATTGTTAAAGGCAGAAGAACGGCAAAGATTTCCGATAGTTGCTCTAGTTTAACACTTTCCCAGTGAGACAGGCAGTATATGTGGACTACAGAAACAAGCGACATTTGTTGACTCGGCTTAAGAGTTGCCAGCAGCTTCAATTGCTCCAGCAAAGGATCGATGCTGGGCAGCATTTTGGCGACAAGGTACTCGTACACAAAGCTAATGTTAGGCTGATCGCTGGGGCACAAGACTGCCTCCCACAACTGCATCGACCACTTCCATTTATCGCTTAGGTCAAGCAGAGCTTTGGCAATACGCATTTTGGTTCTGTGTTCCTTGCAGTTGGCAAAATAACGTGGTTTCTTCTTGGACAATTCGTTGTTCATTCGCAACAAATCGTCACAAATACTGCTGATATCTAAGAGACTGCTATTCTTGGCATAATTAATAAATTGCACTCGAGACATGGCTTCTGTATCCGCACGTTGGCCAAACGTAAGCTCAAAAGCACGTTCTATGCTGCAGGATTTTAATAAACTTGGTATATAGAAGTGTTACTAGGAAGTAGAGCACACATACCGTGCATCGCCTGTGGTGGTTTCTCCTTCCAGCAACTTTTTCAGAACAAACGAAGGAGGTGCTTTGATATATTCTTCACAATCCAAGGTACCCAATAGAAATGTGTTTTTCTGCAAAACGTCCACTACGCATTTATCATACTCTTCCGCAGATAGATATCCCACTGCATATTTTAAGATGGCTTGCCTATAAAATTCAAAAAGGTTAGAAACGAAACAACTTTGTAAATGTTTTAAACTAACGTTTCCCGACACTTGAGCTTCCCCAATCGGGAAATCAGAGCAGGCAAGACGTCCCCATCTTCCAATGGTTGGTTATGCGTGGACAAGATTTGAGTCAAGGTGGCAAATGTGCCTGCCGTGCCCTGATCCAAAAGTTCCAAAGGTCTGAGGTTCAACTCTTCCAACTTGCTCCATGTTGGAAGATTTACCTTAACAAAAAGATCCACGCAGTGTTCGCGCACAAAGGACTTTTCCTCCCTCGTCCGGCAATCCAATCGATTTAGAAGGTGCAGCTGCATCTCCTCCAGACTCACACCACTTTCAAGCAGAGACGTATCTATTTGATAGACAGAGCGATAGAAATCCAAATATTCTTCGGGCCTATCTAGTTCCCGGTGCAGAAATATGGGTAAAAGGCGCCACCAACCATGTTGGGATTTTGGCAATGTCCGTAGTTTCCTCAAAAACTCAACAAAAACGTCGTATTTATAGTCCATTTCAGAGACAAGCTCGCAGCAACGACTGTTAAAATTAGCAATATGTTCTTCTAAGACGCTGCAAGAGGTTATTTTGTGAATTAGTCTATGATGGTCTTCATATCGGTCGATAGTATTGTACAAGGACTCAATGAACAGTAGGTAGTCTCCCAAAGAGAGGCTGTCAATTGTGGCCTGTGAGAGAGGAGAATCAGTAAATGGTTTAAATTGAAATGGCAATTCAACTTACAGTTAACGAGAAAAGCACATGGTTGATGGCTGCACCGCGCAGAACCGTATTTTGAAGCGAACGGACGCGGGCGCTTAGCTGGAGGAGCAGCTCCTTGGAAACCACCGGCAACTGTGTCAATTCCCAGCCCGTCAGCCAATGGAGGAGGGGCACACAATGCCAGGGAACTGCAACGAGGGCCTCTAGCAAAAGTTCCGCCGGGTATTCAGCCATAAAGTGATGTATTTGCTTCTGAGTGAGGCAATCGGGCACCTCGGGATTGTAAAGCTGTGTTCGATTGGTGGCGGCCAGGAACTCCGGCAGGAGATTAAAGCGCGCTAGTTGGGCCAGGCTGAAATGCGACAAGAAGTACTTTAGAGTCCAGCGCAGGACGAGGATATTGTTGTCGCTGAGAAGGCGAGTGCACAGAATCCTAAGCCAGCTGAGCCAATCCTCACTCAAGTTGGTAGACAACAATCCCACGCGCGGCAACAAGGTGCTCAGAGTGGGCAGCACCAGGTGCGACTGCTGCTCCTCCATATTCTCCATGATGCCCACATAGGCGCTCCACTGCAGTTCGCTGCACTGGAGGGCAGCCAATACCTCCTTGATCTCCTGCAACTTGTGCATGAGGTAATAGGACGAACGTCGATCCTCCCGCACCTCCGAGCGCAGAAGATTCTGGGTGACAGGCAGCAATTCCTGGGCGCATTCCACGCCCAGGTTGTGGATGAATTCGTCGAAAAGGTGGACCAGAATCTGGGCCGCATGTGGCTGGTCCTCATTCGTCTGGCTGAGCGACCAGAGCTGCTGCAGCACGAACTTGGCTTCGATGCGCGGAAACTTCCGAATGTGGAGCTGCACGCAGACCAGCAGGTTGGCCACCAGTTGACGCCGGCTGACCGAATCCTCGGGGCTATCCGCTATCACCACGGAGACCAGTTTGTGGAACACCTTCGGCCCGAAGCGCACGTTCCACTTGCTGTTCGTCTGCAACAGGTTGTGGATGCACTGCAGCACCCGCTTGAGGGCCAACTCGTTGTCCTTGTGCATGTCCACCAGGTCGTACAGCATGTCGTCCAGTTCGGCGACGTCGCCCAGCAAATTCTGGTTCTGGATGTACGATTCCAGGGCCTGGACAACCGCGTGGGTGGCCGTCGCCGTGGTGGCTCTGGTCGTGGGCAGAGCCATGGTACTAGCTCCTTTCGATGAAAGCTACTAACTAAACTTAATTACTTATTAGTGCTTTCACAACAAATGTTTCACAATTGAACGAAATTGAAACGTGATTTGTTTACTTGGCGCAATTCGATAGACGGGATATCGAAATATCATCGGCCATCGATAGAAGTATCGATTGTGTACTTTGAATTTGTAATGGCCGTTATATTTCGCACTGAGTTTTGGCGAGAAAAAATCAAGAAAGTTTAAGTACGTTTTAGACAACACAAAAAGGACTTACCTGGAAAGAAGTACCTAGTGAATAAACCATAAATAATCTTTTTAATTTGCTAGCTTTTATTTCAACGGTAATTTTGAATACCCAGAATTTCCTAACCTATTAACCTATTTCTTGCCCTTGTTTGAATTATCTGGATCCGTGAGAGATTCCTTCAGCTTTTTGCACACAGATTTTAGAACCTTGTCGTCTGATTTTGCCTTGGCTTTCTTCTTGTTTTTCGCCATTTTTTTGCAGAGCTCAGCCTCCCTTTTCTGCTTTCTTTTGGCCGCAACCTGCTTCCACCTCTTCTCCATTGCTGCCAATTTCTTATCCCTTTCCTGCCTTTTGCACTTTTCAGCTTGTTTTTTCTTTTGCTTTTCCTCGCACAGTTGCTTGCAGCTTATGAGCTCCATCTTCTTCTTCTCCTCCTCCTTCAAACGCTTGGCTTTCTGGGCAGCTTCTATTTTGGCCACCTCCTCCTCAATTATCTTGAGTTCCGCCTCATTCCGTTTCTTCTCTTCGGATAATTTGCACTTCAACTGCTCTTCCCTCTTCCTACGATTTTCAGCTTCCTCGTTACTTTTCTTGCAGATTTGTTCAAATTCTTCTCTGCTTTTCTTCTCTTCCTCTAGTTTGCAGCACTTTTCAGATTCTTCTCGGCGTTTCTTCTCAGCTTCCGCTAGCATTTGGCTTTCTTTCTGCATTTGCATGCATTTTGCCATCGCATCGTCTTTCTTTGGGCATTCTTTTCGCTTTTCTTCGGTCTTCTTACATTTTTCGGCCAGTTTCTTCTGCTTACACTCTTCTGCCTCGCGCATTTTCCGGCATTCTTCCGCCTGCTTGAGCTTTTCACAGGCCTCCTTTTCAGCCCTCTGCTTGCAGCTCTCTTCCAGGGCCAATTTCCGGCAGCGCTCCTCCTGATCCCGCTCGGCGGTGGTCTGCTGACGGATAGTAAAAAGCCGGAAGGTGATCTTCTCCGCCGACATGGCATTAACCAGCACCACCGATCCCTTTTGGCCCGGCTCAAGAATGTCCATCTTGGCCATTAGCTTGAGGCCCGACTGCATGATGCGTCGAAAGTTCAGGCTCCCAATAACCATTTCCTCCACGAGGAGTGGGTAAACACCGCGGAAGAGCAGGGATTGAGCGGCCTCGGACTGGCAGCCAGTGAGCATCACAATGGGACAAGGCGGCCTCATGTGGCTGACCATCTGGGCCACCATGGAGCACGGACTGGCCACCACAATGGCCCGGGCCTGACCCACCGTGGCCGCCTCCGCAATTGCCGTGGTCACCGCTGAAATGTGATCGGCGGCACTCGACCGGATTTCCCTCTTTAGGCTGTTCTGCAGGTTCTCGTACCACAGAACAGCCTCCACTTTGGCGCAGATCCTGGCCATGGTCTGGACACACTCCACCGGATACTTGCCCTTGGCCGTCTCGCCGGACAGCATGACGGCATCGCATCCATCGAAGATCGCATTGGCCACATCCGAGGCCTCGGCTCGTGTGGGTCGCGGCTTGTTCGTCATCGACTCCATCATCTGGGTGGCGCAGATCACGGGCTTGCCCACCTTGTTGCACTTGGCCACGATTGATTTCTGGGCCAGAGGCACATCTTCTGTGGGTATTTCAATGCCCATATCGCCACGAGCCACCATTATGCCGTCGGATTCGCGGATTATCTCGTCTATATTGGCCAGACTTTGTTGGTTTTCGATCTTCGAGATGACTTTTATGTGCTGGCCCGAAGGACCAAGGGCCTGGCGAATTTCCTTGAGAGCCTTCCCGTCGCGGACGAAGGACGCAAAGATCATGTCCACCTTCTGCTCCGCCCCGAACTTGAGGTCCTGCTTATCCTTCTCGGTCACGCTGGGCAGATCCACCGGAACGCCGGGCAGATTGATGCCCTTGTGGGAGCCCAGCTTACCACCGTTCTCCACCTGACAGATCACCTCCTCGCCCTTGGTTTCCTTGACCACCAGGGCGATCAACCCATCGTCCACAAATATCCGATTTCCCGGCTTAACAAGCTCCGGCAATCGCGGGTAGTCCACGTAGATGACCTCCGCGGTGCACTTATCCTCCAGTTCCTTCTTGGTGCTCAAAGTGACCTTCCCACCCGGCTGGAGCTCGATTTCAGCGGTGTCACTGCCACCGGCCAGCTTTCCCGTTCGTATCTCCGGACCCTTGGTATCCAGGGCAATGGCCACGGTCCTGGGCAGACCCGTTTGCTCCACGTACATGGCCATGGCCTTGCGGGCCGCCTGAATCGTCTGGCAATGGTACTCGTGGGTGCCGTGCGAGAAGTTCATGCGCACCACCCGCATCCCCGCCCGGATCAGCTCCAGGAGCACATCCGGGCAGTTGGATGAGGGTCCGATGGTGCATATGATGCCGCTGAGGGGGACACTCAGAGGAGGTGCTTGGAACTGCAGCCGCGACTGGTAATCCAGCTGGGAGGCAAAGGGTCCGCGGTCCATTTGGAACTTGGGCGGTTCCTAGCGGGGATTGGTTAGTGGATACCCCAAGACAAGTCCACCACCGACTCACCTTCTTCCTTTTGCAATTGCTCGCATAGCAGCGATATCTTAGGTTCGACAGGGAACTGGAACATGCGGGCAGTTTGGCCCTTCGGCAAACAAATCTTGCGTAGGGATGAATTTTGAAGAAATTTTGAGAAACCGAAAGGAGAAATATCTAAAATATTATATGTCAAAGTGTAAAAAGTCTAACATTATTAAAAAAAATTAAAATTAAAATTAGAAACCAAAGCGGGCCATCTCTTATTTGTTTCCTCAATATGATGATTTTAAGGAATATAATTATATTCGTTTTTCAATTCCCAACAAATTATTCAAGAATATTAGGTAATCCTTTAGTAAGCAAAATCCACCTAGTTTCCATACGTACATAAATACAGTGATGACTTTATTATACTTTTCGAAGAAATCTATATTATTCAACAATGGTATATTATATTTGTGTGTCTGTTTGAGGCCCGGGCCGGCCTTCGGCGCTATTGACAGCGGTTCCAGCAGCCTCCTGCAGTTTCCAATATTCCAAATATTGTGTAATTAATAAATAAACTTGGTTATTAACAGTAATTAACGCGACGCCCGCGGCAGCTGCGACGCATCCAGGTACTTCCTGAGCGGCAACATTTATTCGACGGTGCTGGAAAGGAAAAGAGTTTTTATGGTTAATATGAGGTTTGTAGAAAACGAATTTTCCATAATATTAGAGAGAAAGTAAATCAACTTGATACTAAAAACCTAACGTTTTTATGTGAGCTCGATCAAACTATAAAAGGGTACTAATAATTCTGTGCTCATAGTCTACAATTATCCTACACAGAAAAATAAATCCGATATGAAATATAGTTATTTCTACCTTTTTTCATATCAATAAAAAGCTGATATGATTTATGTCAAATTTAAGGTTCAAGCATATCAACATGATATTTTATGATATCATAAATATACCAAATTAAGTATTTTTTTAAGCAAATAATTTAAAAAAAGATTAACATGATCTTTATTCATATCAAAATGATATGAACAACTTGATCTTTAAAAATATCAAATTGACCATTGCCATTTTTTTTTCTGTGTATCAATTTGCATAAATTATATACTTACACAATGCGGATGGTGTTGGTGAAGCCGGAGCCCTGCTTCCAGCCGGTAACCACAACGACGGAATCGCCGGTCTTGATGAAGCCGTTCTTCTTGCCCACAGACAGACCGAACTGGACGCGCACATCCACATCCTTCAGCCAGTCGCCAAGAGCGGGTTCTGCGATACATTATAACAAGTTAAAATATAGGGATAACAACATATAGACAGTCGGAAGCCTCACCCTTGTAGATGAGTGGCACCAGGCCACGGTAAAGATGGGCCTGACGGGCGGTCTGCGGGAAGCGGGTGACCGCGATGATGGGGCAGCGTGGGCGGTACTTGCTCACCTGGAAGGCCGACTTGCCGCTGGTGGTGATCACCACGATGGCGGCGGCCTTGGCCTTGGTGGCGGCCTCAACGGCAGCGATGGCGGCGGCGTGGGCAGCATCGATGGTGGAGGCACCCTTGACCAGGTCGTTGAAGAGGTTCTGGTGCCAGAGGGCGGCCTCGGCCTCCTTGCAGGTCTTGGCCATGGTCAGGACGCACTCCAGCGGGTACTCGCCCTTGGCGGTCTCACCCGACAACATGACGCAATCGGCGCCATCCAGCACGGCGTTGGCCACATCAGAGATCTCAGCGCGAGTGGGACGCGGCTTCTTCACCATGGACTCCAGCATTTGGGTGGCGCAGATCACGGGCTTGCCGGCCTTGTTGCAACGGGCGATCATGGCCTTCTGGGCGAGGAACACCTTCTCGGCGGGAATCTCAATGCCCAAATCGCCACGGGCCACCATGATGCCGTCACCGGCCTCGATGATCTCGTCCAGGTTGTGCATGCCCTGCTGGTTCTCGATCTTGGAAATGATCTTGATGTTCTTGCCCTTCTCGCCCAGCACCTTGCGGATCTCGGTCAGAGCGGCGGCGTTGCGGATGAACGAGGCGAAGACCATGTCCACCTCCTGCTCCACGCCGAACAGCAGATCGCTCTTGTCCTTCTCGGAGACGGCGGGCAGATCGACGGGCACGCCGGGCAGGTTGACACCCTTGCGGGAGCCCAGGGAGCCGCCGTTCTCCACCTCGCAGGTGATCGTGTCCTTGGACACCTCGCGCACAATCAGCGAGATCAGGCCGTCGTCGACGAACACCCGGTTGCCGGGCTTCACCACGTTGACAATGTTCTCGTAGTCCACGTAGACAACCTCCAGGGAGCCCTTCTCCAGGAACTCCTTGTTGGTGGACAGCTTGATCTTCTCGCCCTTCTTCAGCTCGATTTCGGCGGTGCCGCTGCCTCCGATCAGACCGGTACGGATCTCGGGTCCCTTGGTGTCCAGGGCAATGGCCACGGGGTGCTCGTAGCCCAGCTTCGCCGAGTAGTTCTTCACCGCCTGACGCACATTGGCCACCGTGGCGGCGTGGTACTCGTGCGATCCGTGAGAGAAGTTCATACGGGCAATGTTCATGCCGGTGGCCATCATCTTCTCCAGCATCTCCACGCTGCTGGAGGCCGGACCGATGGTGCACACGATTCCAGACAGACGGACATGGGGCACTGGCGAGTCGAACTGCAGGCGGCACATGTGCTCCAGTTGGGTATCAGCTCCGGCGGCCATGTTTTGCGGTACTTCGTTGGGCTGCAAAACGAAGAGGGGATAGTTTATTAATTGGTGGATTCGACACCGTATATGTGATAATTTTTGCTGGTAGATCGTGTGTTAGAACGGATTGTTTATATCTTATTTTTAGAAATGCATGCAAATTAATCGGACTTCTTCAATTTGAGCCTAAATCAATTTATACGATTGTTTATTTACTGTTTAAAAATTTAATAAGTCGGTTTCAAACTAGTATTCAAGCTTTTTTTTCTGCTTTGAATTCTGTGAAGATGTTTAAAAAAATTTGTTTAGTAGATAAGACTCCCCCTCAAGTGACTAAACCTTGATAACAAGAAAATCTTTCTATTTCACAATCCAAGATGTTGCAAAAATAACCAGTTTAATGAAATCGATATCAAAGCCTAATAAATTTCTCGCATAGAAATTATGAAACACAATTAGAGCCCAACATAAATTAGCTGAACACGTGAAGTTCTCATGATAAGCCTTAGTTATTTTCACGAATATAAATCGATACTGCTTTTATCGACCAAATTAAATGTTTACTACCAGCTTATAAATAGAAGCAACACGGCTACATACATAAGACTTTCACAAATGCTTGCCATACCAATCGATTTTCCTTGCAAAAACTAAGGCTGAGGACATTCAGTTATAAAGATTAATCTTTTATTTCTAACTTAACTGCTAAACGATATAGTATAGTATTTCGATTTCGACAGACGAGGGCAGTAGTTCCAGTTAATCAATAATAACAATTTCATACTAATTAATATAAATGCGAAATATTATACGCTATCATCTAGCCTTGATAAGAACACAATCTAATATAATTTTAATACGATAAATGGCATGTAAATAAGCCATTGATAAAAAGATATGAAAACATATGACCAATGATTTATTTTACTCTAACGGACTATGGAGTTATTTCTAAAAGGCTAATCATTTTACCAACTAGATTTAGATTTATATTTAGTATTAATAACAAAACAACCTACATAATATCAAGATAATAATTTTTTTGCCAGACAATTAAAAATTTTTGGTGTCAAGCAATATTATTCCCCCATTGTTTATGCTATAGTTCCTATACCCGAAATCCTCTGATGTAAACAAAGTGCGCGTACTTGAAGTGCTTGAGTGGGTGGGTGTGGGTGGACCAAAAGAGAGGGCCCGAGAAAGGCAGAGCAGGAGAGAGTGCGAAAGAGAGAAGGCAGCATGCGGAAGAAAAGTGTGCAGCGACGTCGCCATCGCTGCACCGCCGAAGGTCAGTTCTGCCGACCGCGACCGACAGAATTTTCGCAGCTGCAGTTGCATAATTCCCTTTTTTCCCCCAATGACTCTGGTATCGGGCCAACCCGCCTGCCAACTGATTATGTATATCTTTATGGACCAGTTCAGGTGAGTTCCAGACCCGTGACAGTGGCGTACCTTCAGCTGCGGAGCCTCATCGTAGATGGTTACGTTCACCATTTTGTTGCCTACCAAGCGGGCGGTACGGAACCAACGGGAATCGCACTTGTGATCGAGATCGGTCTTGGGATACAGACGCCTATATCTTCCAGCTGCACACGCAACGCCACGCACAACACACACAAAGCCGCGGCTAGCCGAGTTCAATATTTTGGCAATATATCTTCCAAGTTTGAGCCGAAAATCCGGATATATCAAAAATCGGACGCGGCGAGGACGAGGCAAAAAGTTCGACTGCCGCACAGATTTTTTTGGCAAGCGGAAAATTTCCCGAGCCGCGGCAAAAGCGCTCAGAATGTCGGTAGCCCGAGACAAAGAGAGCAGGAAGGCAGAACCCCCGAGAGCCACGAGAGAGTTTGGGGCCCAAAGAGGCGAGAGGCGGACGCAACAGGCCACCCCTAAAGAGCCAACTTTCGCGAGAAGCAAAAAGGGTATATCCACAGGGTATACTCGACCAGGGGATGGCAGCTACTCAATCGAGTCAAGGCTAGCTGGGATAAGCTATTTCCAATTGAGGTGAATCCTGACTGATAGCTCAAAGGTGGGTTTGTTTTTGTAGCCTTCGATTTTAATTAGTTTAATTGCTATACAAAAAGGATTTATTTTTATTTTTCAAAATCTTTGAAAATCTTTAAAAATCAATTGCATTTTATTTCTTTATAACATCTGCA